GTGTGGTTGCTGTCTGAAGTACCTGGGGGAGGGGTGACAAGTGGACTGCAGGCTGATGTGGGCCCTGGCCTGGCCGTCCCTCCAAGCAGAGGGGGCTGTCTGGCTGGGAGGGTTAACATCAGCCTACTCTGTCTATGTGTGGCTTGTTTTTTCCTAGAGTTCCTGCCACGGTAGCAGCATCCTTGCCTTTCATTTTCTCCCAAGTGAGTAACCCATCCCTGCCCCTCTGATTCCTCAGCATGAGTCAAGACACTGAAGTTAGAAGTCGGGTCGTGGGGGGAAGTCTTCGAGGTGCCCAGGCTGCCTTCCCAGCCAAAGGAGAGCCGTCACCACCCGAGAAGGAGGAGGACCATGCTCTGACTCACTGGAAGCCCTTCCTGGTCAACATGTGCATGGCTACGGTCCTCACGGCCGGCGCGTACCTGTGCTACAGGGTATGTTTCCACTGACAGACGCGCTGGCAAGGTGCGCGTGTGCAGAGAGCACTGGCCGCTAGCCCGATGGTAGGATTCAGTTCTGTGGCGCATCTGAGCCAGTCTCAGAAGAAACAGAGCAAAGGTTTTAAAAGTCTGGAACTGTGGAAGGGCTAACAAGAGAATTAAGGATCGATGCACTGGGTTTTAAGGAGCCCTCTGGTCCCAAGAATATAAGAGTCTAATCTCAGGGCCTTAACCTATTCAGGAGTAAGTAGAGAAAATGCCAAATATGTCTGTTTCTCTCTCTCTCTCTCTTTTTTTTTTTTTTTTTTTGTTCATTTGTTTTTGAAAAAAAAATAGAGTTACAACACATTGTTGTTTTTAACCTTTATAAAAAGCAGCTTTTTGTTATTTCTAGGGGAAAAAAAAAAAAAGCTCTAGGCACTTATGAAACTTTCTCATACCCTTAGGTGATATAATCAGCTATATAATTTATATTTGATTTCCCAGGGAAGGAATCCCAAACTTTTATGAATGTAAACTCCCTTGGAGAAGAGGGTTAGGACGCTATTGCGCTCAGGCCCCTCAGCTGTGTGCACACTGAGCCAGGACAGGGGCTTCGAGCTTTCCCACAGTAGGAAGAACAGCAGCAAAAGGCCATCTAGAAAACAAAACCTGCCTCTGCTTCTGCTCAGGGTGTCCCTGCTGGGTTTCCATTGTCCTTTCTCCATTGCTCCCTCCTGTGGCAGCCATGTTGCTCATGTACCAGCCCTCATCACCCCATCCCCATAAATGGGTTTCCGCCAGGCCTCTGCCTTGGGGTCAGGGTGGCCATCGGCTTGTCAACCCGCTGTTGATTCAGAGAAGCGGGCTCCACCTCATTGGGAGAAGTGCCATTTCAGCAGAAATCCTCACGGTAGACGTGTGTTGCTGTTAAGTAAGGGGAAGAGAGGACTAGCCTCAGAGCTCTGGCCACGGAAATGACCTCAGACTGTTCCATCATTTTAAATATTTTACCTCTTTCCAGGTGGCCGAGTACATCAGATGGTTTTGCAAAATGCAAACAATTTTTTCCTTGGGGGTGATTTTTGGGGAGAGGGGGCTACTGTAAAAAGAAAAACCAAAACCCCTTTTGCTCCCTCAGAGGTTGGAGTTGCTGGGGGGTGTGGCCGGGGTCATGCATGAGGCGACAGCTCTGCAGGTGCGGGTCTGGGCTCATCTGAACTGTTTGGTTTCATTCCAGTTCCTGTTCAACAGCAACACATAGCCTGACCCTCCTCCACTCCACCTCCACCCACTGTCCGCCTCTGCCTGCAGAGCCCACGCCCGACTAGCAGGCATGCCGCGGTAGGTAAGGGCCGCCGGACCGCGTAGAGAGCCGGGCCCCTGACGGACGTTGGTTCTGCACTAAAACCCATCTTCCCTGAATGTGTGTCTCACCCCTCATCCTTTTACTTTTTTCCCTTCCCCTTCGAGTACCAAATCCACAAGCCATTTTTTGAGGAGAGTGAAGGAGAGGACCCTGCTGGTGGCGCAGAGGGAAGGGGCCTGCACCCGTCCCGGGCCCCCCCCCCCAGGGCTCCTACCTGGAGCAGCCCAGCGGGTGGCACACCAACAGCCCCCCTCGAATCTGCAGGGAGCAACTCTCCACTCCATATTTATTTAAACAACTTTCCCCTAAAGGCGTCCATAGTGCACTAGCATTTTCTTGAACCAATAATGTATTAAAATTTTTTGATGTCAGCCTTGCATCAAGGGCTTTATCAAAAAGTACAATAATCAATCCTCAGGTAGTACTGGGAATGGAAGACTTTGCCATGGGCCTGCTGCGTCAGACCAGTACTGGGAAGGAGGACGGTTGTAAGCAGTCGTTATTTAGTGATATTGTGGGTAACGTGAGAAGGTAGAACAATGCTATAATATATAATGAACACGTGGGTATTTAATAAGAAACATGATGTGAGATGACTTAGTCCCGCTTATCTGCTAGCTCTAGTTCTCGATCACCACTCCCCCAAGTGTATTAGAATGCATGTATGGTCTTCTTGTGTCCTGATGAAAATTATGTGCTTGAAATGAGAAACTTGGATCTCCGCTTACTCATGTGCCCATGTCCAAGTCTACCCTGCCTGTGCATGACCTGATCATTACATGGCTGTGGTTCCTAAGCCTGTTGCTGAAGTCATTGTCACTCAGCAATAGGGTACAGTTTTCCAGGAATAGGCATTTGCCGGATTCCTGGCATGACACTCTAGTGACTTCCTGGTGAGGCCCGGCCTGTCCTGGTACAGCAGGGTCTCGCTGTAACTCAGACATTCCAAGGGTATGGAAGCCATATTCACACCTCACACTCTGGACATGATTGAGGCAAGCAGGGGACCCCCCCCCCCACATTTGGGATCAGCCTCCACTATTCCAAGTCAGCACTCTACTTGAGCAAACTGTGATTTGGAAGAGAGGCAACTGCTGGAAACCACACTTCTTAAACAGCCTGGGTGACGGTCCCTTAGGCAGCCTGCTGCCGTCTCTGCCTTGGTTCACCTTGCCGAGAGAGGCGTGTCTGCCCCACCCTCGAACTCTGTGGGGGGCCTGCTGGTGCTCACGACTCTTCCTGCAAAAGGAACTGAAGACCTCCACATTAAGTGGCTTTTTAACAAGAAAAACACGGCAGCTGTAGCTCCGGGGCTACTCCCTTGCCAGCATTTTCACATTTTGCCTTTCTCGTGGTAGAAGCCAGTACAGAGATTCTGTGATGGGAACATTCGAGGCGTCACCCCGCAGAGCTGTGGTGAGGTGTGGATAAGGCTTAGGTGCCAGGCTGTAAGCATTCTGAGCTGGGCTTGTTGTTTTTAAGTCCTGTATATGTATGTAGTAGTTTGGATGTGTATATATAGTAGCATTTCAAAATGGACGTACTGGTTAACCGCCTACCCTGGAGAGCGGCTGGGGCTCTCCAGCCTGTTCCCCGGATGTTGGAGAGGTAGCGAGCTGCTCTGCTATATGCCTTAAGCCGATATTTACTCATCAGGTCATTATTTTTTACAATGGCCGTGGAATAAACCATTTTTACAAAAATAAAAAAAAAAAAAAGCGAGGTGTTTTGGTATAATACCTTTTCAGGTGTGTGTGGATACGTGGCTGCATGACCGGGTGGGCGGGGGGCATGTCTCAGGGTCTTCTGTGACCTCACAGAACTGTCAGACTGTACAGTTTTCCAACTTGCCATATTCATGATGGGTTTGCCTTTTAGCTGCAACAATAAAAATTTTTTCTAAAGAACATGAATTTGGGGTGCTTCCCATTTTCTTTGCTTAATAGACCTAAGCCTGGATGAGCGACTCCTGTTTCTTTCCATCCCTGCTGATGTGAAACAGATGTCAGTCAACTGGGGTTAGAGTTTTCCACTTCCCAGAATTAACTTCAGCATCCCGGCGTGGACAGCGCCCTCAGGCTGCAATGCTTTCCTGACTGGGAGCTTATTGACCACCGTAGGCTTCAGCGCATTTCCTTCCCAAAACCCACACTTGGCATGCATAGGCCCTCAGATAATTTCACAAAGTTATCAGTGGTGTTTGAAGAACAGTGTTTTAAGTTGTAATCTCAAAACTGTGTCCATTACCCAATTGCCTATAAGAGACAATGGTTACCGCATCTCAGTACATAAAGTCTATTTGATACAGAATTGACTTAGAAATAAGGTAGTCTTTCATTTGTGTACAAAATTAAACGGTGTAAATTCCCCGGAAACTTATTTTGACTTTTTGTTTTGAAGTAATACTGTATTTGCAAAATGTTGCAAAAACAGTACAAAGAGTTCCCCTGTACCCTCCAAGGTTCCTCAGCTGTTTCAAAGCTGACTGCAGGCCCAGGCTCCTGAGACCAGCAGCAGGACAGGCTGTGGTCATGTGGCCCCACAGGGTCCTGGGGCTGCGGATGTCAGTGTGGCCCCCACCGTTTCAGGTATGAAAAAGGTCATCTAAGCTTTCAAGAAGAGGGAGGTTGCTCCAGGGCCACGGTCCCCAACCTTTTTGGCACCAGGAACCGGCTCCATGGAAGAGTTTTTCCACAGACCTGGGGGTGGTGGGGGATGGTTTTGGGATCCACCTCAGGTCATCAGATTCTCATAAGGAGCACAAAACCTAGATCTCACAGTTCACAATAGGGTTTGCACTCTTAGGAGAACCTAATGCTGCAACTGATCTAACGGGAGGTGGAGGTCAGGCGGTAATGCCCGCTCACCGCTCACCTCCTGCCCTGCAGCCCAGTTCCTAACAGGCCTTGGACCAGTACCAGGTGTGTGGACTGGGGGTTGGGGACCCCTGCTCTAGGCTAGTACGGCTGCTTAAAAAAAGAGGAGGGGGACTGACAAATTGGATGGGGCAAAGGCCATGCTGCAGAATGCCCGTATGGGGTGAGCATGCCTGGAGCCTTCACCAGCATGCGGCGAAGCCCAGAGACGGTGTTTACCAGAGCCGCTGCCTGAGGCCCCTCCTTCAAGTGTCCTCACAGCGCCCCACGAGACCACAGGAGTGACCCCCTCATTGGCAGGGATTTGAGGAAACAACCGCTGTCTACTCTTTTGGGTAAAAAGTAAAACACTAATTAAAATAGTTTAATTGAAATTCCAGAGAACTGAACATATGAACCAGGTTTTCTAAAAGTTAAACCAAAAAAGCACAATATATATACAGGAAGTTTGGATGGGAAAGTTCTCTGATGCTGTGGTTACAGCACCCTCAAAGCCTAGGTTCTCTCTACATTAACAGACTCTCAGGATGTGGTTTGCTTTTTTCTAATAGACTTAAATAGGAAACTAATTTTCTTTCTATAAAGCAACGTGTTCTTCAGCGAACTCTTTCTTCAGGGCAGCTGATGGCTTCTGGAGCGGTTTATTGACGAGGCCCTCGATTGACTCTGAAGCTGGATTGCATTTGGGTAGCGAGCGGCTCTACTCCCCGTGCTGCTCAGGGCTCCTGGGCTGATGCGGCTTCTTCCCTTTGTGTTGCTGAGCATAGGGAGGGTGAGGTTCACAGTCCAGCAGCCGCTGTCCGTGGGCTCCATGGCACGCCGGCTGCAGGTCAAGCGGAGAGTGTGGCTGTAGAAACCCTGGCTTTGTGCCTTCCCACCTTCCCCAGCTCACTGGGGTGCCAGCTGGCTGCTGCTGAAATGACTTGAGCAGCCTTCTCCATCCCAGTGTCTGTTGACCCAGAAGTGCTGAGTGGCTGACCGGCAGGGAGGCCTGGAGTTCTGTACCCTCATCATGGAGCCTTTTATTCAGGGCCTCACTTTACCTGGCCTTGGCCCTCTTGTAGGTGGCCGCCAAGTGCGGCTCGGCTCTGCATCTCAGGGAAAGTCACACAGACCCTCAGCCAGAAGTTGGGGGCGACGTTGAGGCCATGCAGCCCTTGGAACGCTGTACGTGGCCTTGCGTTTTTCTGTCCTGTCCAAAAGACCAGCCCATGCCCTGGGTCAGTGGCTGGAGCCTCAGGCAGAGCTCTGGGCAGTTCACACTCCTAGAGGAGCAGATGGCACCATTACCCAGAGCTCAGGCTTTACATGCAGGCCAAGCAGCAGCAAAAAAAACCGAGGCGAGACTTGCTCATCAGCCAGGATATTTTAAAATACTGTGATTTCAACATCTGCCTCCTGGCCAAAGACTTCTCTTTGTTCTGAGCAGAGTTTGTCCATCCTCTCAAAAGCTAACCGTCCTTTTTCACCTGAAATAGCAAAGGCCTCTGTCACCAGGTTGGCTCCTGCTGCCTTGGCGTTTCCTACTCTCCTGGGCCAAGGTGGCCTTAGTGCTTAGTGACTATGGGTCTTGGTGGTCTCTGCAAAGCAGTGGGGGAGGGTGTATGTGCAGGAGCCCCCCACCTGGTGACTCCTGCTGCCCAGGGGCCTTGCCTTTACCTCTAGGATATTCTACCCCTGCCCTGGTTCTGGCCTCTGTCCCAAAGATCATAAAGTCTGAGAAGACAGCAAACACTCCCTGCCACCCCAGCCACGAACGAGGCCTGTCCTGGCAGAATGCTGCAAAGGGTAGAGGTCAGCTCTGCACCAGGGCTGCTAACGCTGCCTATCCGGGGTGCTCCAGAGCCGTTCTGCCAGCCAGGAGAGCTGGGTGTGGCCTCGCACAGATTCTAAGGGCCCCAGGAACCCCGCTGCGCTGCAGGGGATGTGCTACTTTACCAAATGACAGTGTGGTTTCCCGGGCTGCCATCCGCACCGCTTCCAGGTCAGACTGGCACAGGCTGGCAATCTGGTCGATGCTTTCAACGCCCTGTTCGAGGTTAGGGGAGAGGGTCCTTTAGGGCGTGTTCTCAACAGTGGTAGAGTCCACTTAGCGGCCCTGCAGGGCCAGCCCTAGCGTGGTCTCTGGGGCCTCAACCCCTTTTCTGCAGGCTTCCAGGTTTCCTAGGTGGCCTCAGGCTCATAAGAGGTACCTCTGGACTCGAAGCGCCTCGCCTCTTCAGCCCTGACACCTGCTAGGGAGTCAGGCTGTTAGCAGAGTTTGTCTTCCTGGATGCCTGCTGAAAAGGAGGTGGCCTGCTGCCTTCTGGACCTTCCTACCTCCCCCACGCTCTCCTTACCCTCCTCTCTCCAGGGCAGCCTGTGCCAGGACGTCGCCGACTCAGGCACATACCCGGGGCTGCTCCTGCGGGCCCAGGACTGGCATGTGCCGCAGCGCCCTCTGCTGGACACCCGGCCCTTGCTGGTTTTCTGATCCTAGCCAGCTTCTCTTGGAATTTCCTGTTGATTCATCCCAGAACGAATGGGACGAGTGAGTTTAATCTGTATTGAACTGCCTTTCGTCTAGCAACTGGCAATTCCAAATGCAGGTGAGACTGAGGGAAAGCGGAAATCCCCTCACATCCATGGGATTTATCAAGAGTCTCAAAAATGCTCATCTCTGGCTCTAGGATTGGGTCTAGCCTGAGGAAATAATTCAGAACTCCATGGCTTTTTAAAGCTTTATGCACGAACATGATCATAATGACATTATTTAGGATTAAAAAACTATTTCCTATGAGAGTGGGTAAGTAGGTTAAATTAAGGTATATACTTGATAGCCCCTTCATGAAGTATTCTAAAGTGGAAAAAGAAAAGACATAAAAGAAGTCAGGTGCGGTGGCTCACACCTCCCAGCACTTTGGGAGACCGAGGCAGACGGATCACAAGGTCAGGAGATCGAGATCATCCTGGCCAACATGGTGAAACCCTGCCTCTTCTAAAAATACAAAAATTAGCTGGGGGTGGCGGTGTGTGTCTGTAATCGCAGCTACTCAGGAGGCTGAGGCAGGAGAATCACTTGAACCCGGGAGGCAGAGGCTGCAGTGAGCGGAGATTGCACCGGTGCACTCCAGCCTGGCAACAGAGTGAGACTCCATCTCAAAAAAAGAAAAAAAAATTAAAGTGCTGCCAGTCTAACACAGAATGTTCTTATTTTGTTGACTGCTTTTAAACTGTAGATCAACAATTTTAAATGCTCACACACACCCACAAACTTTTAACAGAAGCATACCAAAATGTCAACAGTTGTTTATGCTACTTGCTGCTAGGATGATGGATAACTTTTCTGTCTCTATATTTTCTATATTTTATACATATATATACACACACACACACAATGAGCCGATTGTTCTTTAAAAGAGTTGTTTTGTTTTTTGTTTTTTTTTTGAGAGAGTCTCACTCTGTTGCCTGGGCTGGAGCGCAGTGGCGCAATCTCTGCTCATGCAACCTCCGCCTCCTGGGTTCAAGTGATTCTCCTGCCTCAGTCTCCCGAGTAGCTGGGATTACAGGTGCATGCCACCATGCCCAGCTAGTTTTTGTATTTTTAGTAGAGACTGGGTTTCACCGTGTTAGCTAGGATAGTCCTGATCTCCTGATCTCGTGATCCGCCTGCCTCGGCCTCCCAAAGTGCTGGGATTATAGGTGTGAGCCACTGCCCCTGGCCCTTTAAAAGATTTTTAACAGACTTTTTTAAAACATGTAATTCAGGGCCAGGCGCAGTGGCTCACGCCTGTAATCCCAGCACTTTGGGAGGCCGAGGCGGGTGGATCACGAGGTCAAGAGATCGAGACCATCCTGGTCAACATGGTGAAACCCCGTCTCTACTAAAAATACAAAAAATCAGCTGGGCATGGTGGCACATGCCTGTAATTCCAGCTACTCAGGAGGCTGAGGCAGGAGAATTGCCTGAACCCAGGAGGCGGAGGTTGCGGTGAGCCGAGATTGCGCCATTGCACTCCAGCCTGGGTAACAAGAGCGAAAACTCCATCTCAAAAAAAAAAAAAAACATGTAATTCAGGAGCTCAGAAAGTGAATTCCTGGGGCCGCCTGCATATTCACCCAGAGCCACAGCAAATGCCCACTAAGTATTGCTGTCATAGAGTTTCTGGTAGTGGAGCTGACAGCTCCTCTAGAACTGCTTATTTAGGTGTTTTGTTTGGAAACAGGGTCTCACTCTGTCACCCAGGCTGGAGTGCAGTGCTGTGATTATGGCTCCCTGCAGCCTCAAAAATCCTGGGCCCAAGTGACCCTCCCATCTCAGCCTCCCGAGTGGTTGGGACTATAGGCGCGTACCACCACACCAAGCTAATTTTTCCTATTTTTTTTTTGTTTTTTTAATACTGACTGTGGGAATGCTCCATTCCAAATTTTTTTCTACGTTTTATAGAGAGGGTGATCTCCCTATGTTGCCCAGGCTTGTCTCAAACTCCTGGCTTCAAGTGACCCTCCTGCCCTGCACCCTGAAGCGCTGGGATTACAGGCATGAGCCACCTCACGGTCTATTCATGTGCTTTTCTGCTGTCAGTGTTTCTTGACCCTTTTTTGGTCCCAGTGGAATTTTTTTTTTTTTCTTTTTCAGAGACACAGTTTCATTCTGTTGCCCAGGCTGGAGTGCAGTGGTGTGATCTTGGCTCACTGTAGCCTCTGCCTCCTGGGTTCAAGTATCGAGTAGCTGGGACTACAGGCATGTGCCACCATGCCTAGTTTTTGTGGGGTTTTGTATGGTTAGTAGAAAGAGGGTTTCCCCATTTTGGCCAGGCTGGTCTCGAACTCCTGCCTTCAGGTGATCCACCTGCCTCAGCCTCCCAAAGTGCTTGGATTACAGGCGTGAACCATCACGCCCAGCCCCAGTGGAATCATTTTGAAGTTAACTAACCCTAACCACCAGCAGGCTTCCCTGTCAGCCACTAGTTGGGGAAACGTCAGGCTCACCTTGAGCTGTTTGAGCGCCAGGCACGCAGCCTGCTGTAGCCTTGCGTCGTCCTCTGCCAGGGCATTGGTGTAGAAGAGCAGAGCCTGGGGAGAGGAGGAGTCTGTGAATGGAGGGGCGAGCAGAAGCAGAGTCCATGGTTCCAGGGTCTGTCAGCCACCGGGTGCCGACAGTAAGGCATGCAGTGGCCGCCCTTCTCTAAACAACATTCAGGTCATGATCTCTCCATCTTTGGGCCAGGTGTCCACAGTCACAAGATCTGTACTGTGGGGTTTATCCCTAAAAACTGATCCCAGGGCTACTACAGTGAAGAAAGCTCTTTTTGTCTAATATTCTAGAAGTACATTCTGAAACTGCTGTCTGTAAAATGCTGAATCAGAGAAAGCAGATGCCCAGCTCAGAACAACAGAAGAGCTGATGATACCGAGGGCATTGCCCTCCTCAGCTGAAAAGGAGCAAGGCTGCTGCCCCAAGCCAGAGGAAAACATGCCTATTCTCCTCAGCCCCCTTTCCAGTCACAGCGGTGACCCTGCCCTCTTCAGTCCCATGACCATGGCCACCTCAGTTCATCTCTTTGGGCCTAACTTGACTGCACTGAAAACAAAGTTGGCACTTGCTTCATGCACTGCTGTAGAGTTTGTCAGGAAGCACATGAGTTCATGCCCCGCCCACAGCAGAGTCCAGCTTCTGCGGCTGCAAAGGGAAGCCCAGGAGTTTTGCGCTCACTCAGTCAAGCGGCTGCGCCTTCAACTGCATGAGTGGGGCCAAGGAGGGCCCAGGTGCAGAGCCAAATGAGAATGGCCACCTTTCCCTCTGCAGGTGGCTCTCTGAAGTGTCTGCTGCTTTGGGAAGACAGGGAGACTGAGTAGGATCAGGGTCCTCCTGCTCCTTCCTACATGGCATTGGTGAGGAGGACTGTCAGGACACATCAGTATGGAAGGTAGCCCTCTCCCTCCTCAGTACCCCCATCTGGGGCCAAGCAATCTGTCACTGGGGTGACTCTGGCTCCCGCCTCAGTGTTTCCTGCTCTCTAAAGTTTGTCACATGAAGATGAAGGTTTTTGGGTGGTGGTGGTTGTTGGATACAGAGTCTCACTTTGTCACCCAGACTGAGGTGCAGTAGCACGATCTCAGCTCACTGCAACCTCTGCTTCCCAGGTTCAAGCAGTTCTCATGCCTCAGCCTCCCAAGCTGGGAATACTGCCCACTGGCATGCACTGCCACTCTTGGCTAATTTTTTTGTACTTTTGGTAGAGACGAGGTTTCACCATGTTGGCTAGGCTGGTGTCAAACTCCTGACCTCAGGTGATCCACCCCCCTCAGCCTCCCAAAGTGCCAGGATTACAGGTGTGAGCCACTGCACCCGGCCATGGAGGCCTTGTTTACAGTATGAAAAGATACCCACATACCTCTAAACCACCCCCCTAAGAAAATACACCTGACTTCAGTGGATCCTTGAAGCCCAACTACTAGCTTTCAGGAACTACAGAAGACAGATAAATGCATTAGACTACATCCCACAAGCAGCAAAGTCTAGCTATTCCAGAACAACCTGGGATCATCAAGAAATTAACTACAAGCAGAGAAAGAAATGGAGAAGGAACCTTGAGATTAAATGGAAATTAAAAGCCATCAGCTATTCACAGTGCATGTCCTTATGTAGATTCTAGTTTAACAAAAATAAAACAGGATACTTGAGGCTTGGGAATTTAGAAGTATGATATAAAGGAATTCATGGTTAATTTTTTAGATATGATAATGGTATTATAGTTCTGATTTTTGAAGGATTTTTTTTTTTGGAGGCAGAGTCTCGCTCTGTCACCCAGGCTGGAGTGCAGTGGTGTAATCTCTGCTCACTGCAACCTCTGCCTCCCAGGTTCAAGTAATTCTCTGCCTCAGCCTCCCAAGTATCTGGGACTACATGTGCCCACCACCACGCCTGGCTAGTTTTTTGTATTTTTCATAGAGACGGGGTTTCACCATCTTGGCCAGGCTGGTCTTGAACTCCTGACATTGATCCACCCACTTCGGCCTCCCAAAGTGCTGGGATTACAGGTGTGAGCCACCGCACCCGGCCGAAAGAATTCTTAGCCTGTTGACACATATAGTTAACTATTTAAAGTCAAATATGATACTTCAGAATGCTTCATAGTGATAGAGGGGAGTGAAGGAAGAAGGGGCAGGATTGGCTGTGGGTTGATGGTGGTTAGGCTTGGGTGATGAGGGCAGATGGATTCATTGTATTGCTGTGTCTACTTTCGCATGTTCAAAAGACTACAAATAAAGAGGTAAAAAAACAACTCCAAAATGTCCGGGCGCAGTGGCTCACACCTGTAATCCCAGCACTTTGGGAGGCCGACGCAGGTGGATCACAGGTCAGGAGTTCACGACCAGCCTGGCCAATATGGTAAAACTCCATCTCTACTAAAAATACAAAAAAATTAGCCGGGTGTGGTGGTGGGTGCCTGTGTAATCCCAGCTGCTCCGGAGGCTGAGGCAGAGACAGAGAATTGCATGAACCCAGGAGGCAGAGGTTGCAGTGAGCCGAGATTGCGCCCCTGGACTCCAGCCTGGGCGACAGAGCAAGACTCCATCTCAAAAAAAAAAAAAAAAAAAAAGACCGCAAAGTAGGCATATGGGCTCCAAGGAGGACTGCTGGCAACGGAACTGGAGATTTCCTCTCCAGTTGAGCTGAGACCAGCACTGTTGGCTATGCCCTTGATGTCACCCTTCCTGCACCCCTCAGGGTGTGGCACCTTAACCGTGCAGTAGTCACAGGCCAAGAGTGAAAGGCAGAGGGGTCCATTCTCTTGTTTTTCAAATGGACTGAACACCATGATCCATTACCAGGTAGCCTCGAATATTAGTTGGAAGTAAAAGAGGACTATCGAAACACTAAGAACGACATTCAATGTACAAGTGACGCTCAGAGGCCTAACAGTGTGTTGCTTTGGAAGCAGGAAGCGGGTAGGCTTAGGTGCATGTGTGTGACTCAGGTGGCAGCCCAGGTCCCTCCAAAATAGCTCACAGCCAATGCCACTGTAGCCCCGGGCACGCGCTGCTTTGGACTTTTCCATGAGAACACCTGCTTATCTGTGCTCACACATCTGCAGCTAGGGCCTGCCACCTGCCCTGGACAACATACCTTTTCCCGGAAGCTTCTGTTCCTGACTGCACCCGCCAGGCGAGCACTGGCCGCCCTGCACACCCTCGGAGTGCCGTCCAGCTGGAGCAGCGCCCAGGCTGTTAAGGTCTGGGGCAGGGGCTGGAGCTGGCCCAGCCGCTTCCCCTGCAGCTTCCGGACCGCCTTGGCCTGCCCCGTGCAGTGGAGCTCCTCGATGAGTGTCACTAGAAGACAGGAAAGAGGTGGCCCGGGGCCTGAGCGGGAGTGCAGTAGGACAGCTGCAAATCTGCTTGGCTGCTGCCATGAGCCACAGAGGAACAAATCCCAGAGCCAGCAGGATGGGCACCAAGGCCAGGGCTGGACTAGTTTCACAGGGAGCTCCTGGAATCTCTAGGAATGCCTTTTAACAAAGGATCAATACTCTCCGAAAATTAATAAAACCACAGCCCATGCTTCCAGGCACTCTGGCAAGCCGAGATCACCCTCCTACCCAGCTCTGACCTCTGTTCCATATTTTTTAAAGCTGACTTCCCTTGGAGCTAATATCACCCCCATCAGCTGAATGCAGAATCTCATTAAATCAGGGTTCCCGAAGGAACAACTGGCAGGGACAGATGTCGTGGTCCTGTCCCTGAATTGTAACCCGAGAAGCTGTCTGCACGTGACAGGGCTCCGTGGATATTCCTCTGCTCTGACAGCCACCTACCCCAGTCTTACCTTCCTTGGTGAGCTGGGTGAAATGCTTCTCCAGGTCAGAGACGCTCTGCCTCTGCAGGTAGCTGTGAAACTGGAACCAGGTGATGGTCTGGTCTTCAGGGAGCCCAGCTCCAGGGAGCAGCCCACCACAGCTGACCACCTGTTCCAGGAGCCTGCGACACACTGGCCAAAGGAGAGAGCACATCAGGAGAAACTGAGACCTCAGTCCTCCACGCTTCTCAGCTGGGAGTAACCTGGTCGGCTAAACGGTTTTCTGGGCCTGGCACAGTGGCTCACACCTGTAATCCCAGCACTTTGGGAGGCCAAAGCAGGTGGGGTCAGCTGAGGTCAGGAGTTTGAGACCAGACTGACCAACATGGAGAAACCCCGTCTCTAATAAAAATACAAAATTAGCCGGGCATGGTGGTGCACGCCTGTAGTCCCAGCTACTTGGGAGGCTGAGGCAGGAGAATCGCTTGAACCCGGGAGGTGGAGGTTGCAGTGAGCCAAGATTGCACCATTGCACTTCAGCCTGGGCAACAGGCGTGAAACTCCATCTCAAAAAAATAAAAGGCTTTCTGATGGCATGAGGGCAGGTGTCGCTTACTGAGCTCCCTGTGTCATGGGAGAGGAGTGTGCCCAGCTGGAGTCAGGACTGTGACTCCGATGCACTGAGTCAGACCGTCTTGGATTCATCCTTGTGCCCAGGCCCCACCGCACCTGAATCTAAATCCTGGAGGCAGGGCCTGGGAATAGGCGTGTCAACAGGCAGCCCAGGTGGCATGTGGAACATGACTGTCACCTTTCACATGCTCCACAGAGAAGAGCAGTAGGGCTCTGCATTCTGGGGAAGAACGCAGTGCAGCCAACATTTCTAGATGCCCTCGTGGGCCCCTGCCTGCCTCCTTTCCCATAAGGTTCATTCTTCCTGTAAGGCTCTGGTGGGAGGCATGGAATCTGTCCCCAGAAAAATGCACCGGCCTACCAAGGTTTGCACGCAGCCTCAGAACTCCACACACTGTTCAGAAGGTCCCAGGTGGAGGCTCATTTCTCGCTCAGTGAAAGGATGGAGACTTCCACTCAAGCTGAAAAACCTCCTCCATTCGATGTCATGAAGACACAGAGGTGAAGACAGGCTGAAATGAGCCAGCTGAGGCCACCCTGAAGGCCCTGGAGAGTCATGATAGCCCTTCTGTGGGAGGCGATGGACAACACAGGCGGGAACCCACCTATTTCCAGCTGGCCCGGGTATTTCCCTCTGACTCTGTGCAGGAACGTTTTCTTGAGCTGGTTCAGCAGTGTCGTGGCAGAGCAGGACAGGACCCGACCAGGCCCTGTGCACGCCCTCCACAGCTTCAGGCACCCCTTCCTCCGCGACGCCTGTGGAATGACTGAAAGCCCCAGTTCAGAAACCTGAGTGGCAGGTTGGGGAGAGCACGTGACAAGGACCCCAAAGGAGTTTCCCTCCACTGGGACCTAAGAGGGCAGGGAGGAGAGGGTGGTGTGGGCTTGACGCAGGGTCCCTTCTCCGAACTGGCTCTAAACATCTACCCAGGGCCACCACCTGCAGTCCCCACAACAACCTGGAGAGGCTGCTGTCACCAGCCTCTCTCTACAGACAAAGAACCTGGCCTCCTATGAGCAGACATCCCAGGGGGCAGAGGCGCAGCTGGGATCAGCTACTCTGAGTGTGCATTCTGTACCTTGAATATGGCCTGGGGTTACCTCACTGAACCCTGTGCAGTGCTCTCCCCTTAGACAGATAGGGAAATGGAGGCACAGAGAGGTGAATCATTGGCGTACAATCACACAGCTGGCTGGAGTGTATCCTGCAACTCCAAGACGCCTCTCCCACCTCCCCGCAAAGCCTGTGTCTCTCCCAGCCCAGCCGGCCACAGCCTCCACACTGGGCTCCGGTTAACTTTGGCTATCAGGAACGGAGAAGAGGCTCCCCGAGCTTTGACCCCGTACCCGTGCTATTCACACAGACAGCCCTTGGGTGGTAGGCAGCTCCTTACTCTCTTCGATGGATGTTGCCTTGCCGACCTTCTCAAAGTCAAGGACAGAAAGTGTCTCCAGAACGTGCTTTTGTTGTGCCACTTCTTCCAGGAGGCATTCCTGGACCAGCCTTGATAAAGCAGGGGAGGCCAGTTTCTGGGAAGCAGACCACGATGCTCCAGGTTAGCATGGAGCATGCCCACTGAGGTCAGCTGTTAGGGCTGTGGCTCCCAGCTGTTTGTGCCCATCCCTTCTGTTCCAGGGGCAGCTCCCTGACTGTCATCTGGGGAGTCCCCTTTCACCAAGGTGGCTGAGCTGATGGGATACAGGCTGAGCTGCCAGGGACCACCTTTGACCCCAGAAGAAGAACCAGCCTGCCTGAAAGTGAAGCCAACCCACATTGCAAAGCAGAACAGAGAGAGTGAGAGATATAGTCCTGATAGCATTTGAACCCCTGGATCCAGCCAGGCCTGAAGCCTACATCTGAGCCTTTCAATACCATGAGTCAATACATTTTCCTCTTGGTTGAGCCAGTTTGCATTAGGGTTCTGGCATCTATAAATGAAAGCTACCACCACAGTCTCTGGTTCAAGGCCTGGGCTGTGTAAGAGCCACGTGAGCATTCACACAGACCTGGTCTGCATCTTCCACTGGGTAACAGCCTGTCTCATTGGCTCCCAGGAGGCTGGTCTGTCACCCCTTACCATGCGTCCTACCACCTTCAAGATGAGCCCTTTGCAAAGTGACTCCCAACCCCTGTCTGCCCCTCCCTGACAAGTCCCCCAGCCCAGCCACCTGCAGCAGAGCTTTGCAGACTTGGAGATGTATCGTCAGCAGCACGTCCAGCTCCGGGGCACCGGCTGTGAGTTCCCTGGATGTTTTCAGTGATGGTGGTGGGGGCAGAGGCTGGTCCCTTCTGAGTTGAATTGAGAACTAGGTGATCATCCCAGGTAGCAGATCAACTCCCTCTGAGGGTGGGGGGAACCCTCCCTCGCCCAAGCACTCTGGGTCAGGGAGGCCCATCCAGGTCCCAGGGAGTTCCGCCGAGGGGAAAACTAGGAGGATGGAGAAAGGAGCAGAGGGCGGCAGCAACTCGAAATAGAGCTGGGGGTGTGGCCCAGGGCCTGGGGAAGGCAGGGCGGGCAGTCGTCTTCCAGGATGCCTCGTGGAGGTAGAAGACCATTCCAACTAATCCCAGCTCTGTGACAAGTCTGCCTCCCCAAGGCTCAGTTGACTCGTCTGTCAAGGGGGACAGGAACCCCACAATCAAGGCCGTGAGGGGTGTGTGAGATACAGTGGCAAGAGCTGCTTGCACCAAGCCCGCTCCATGGTAAGAGGCTGGACCTGTGGCCCGACTCCCTCACAGCCACTCAGGAAGGGCAGAAGCAAGTGTCAGCACAAAACACCACACCCGCCCCATGGAGAGGTGAGAAGGAATTCAGCCTCTGCTGTTCTGCGTGAGGAGATGTGGATGCAGAAGCCCTCAGCGGCTGGGGCGGGGGGTGCCGCATGGCCTCTAGGGAAGCTGTCACGGGAGGTGTGGGCCCTGCACTGGGACTGAGGGAACAGAGCAGTGGGTGCTGCTGCATCTTGGGCAGAGGGCAAAGAACTTTTGTTGTTTTGAGGCAGAGTCTCACTGTTGCCCAGGCTGAAATGCAGTGATGCGATCTCGGCTCACTGCAACCTCTACCTCCCGGGTTCAAGCGATTCTCCTGCCTCAGCCTCCCGAGTAGCTGGGATTACAGGCATGCGCCACTATGCCCAGCTAATTTTTTGGTATTTTTAGTAGAGATGGAGTTTCGCCATGTTGGCCATGCTGGTCTTGAACTCCTGACCTCAGGTGATCCGCCCGCCCCGACTTCGCAAAGTGCTGGGATTATAGGCATTAGCCACCACGCCCAGCCTCAAAGTACTTCTACCATATACTCGGTGGTTATTTTTTAAGGTTCAAAAATAATAGTAAAAGCTGATTCCTTGGAGCAGAAGGCTCAGGGTCAGGCTGGGGTGATCTCACCGACTTCGTGGTCACTGAGGACGAGCTCTGAGCCATGCCGGGGCTGTGCGGGGATGGCAGGGAGCATGACAGAGTGACAGCGCTGAGCCAAGGACAGTGGAAGAAACAGAGCAGGAGGCCTGCAGGAAGCGTGGTGCTCAGGTCACCCAGAGGGAGTGCTGGCCACTGGGTCACTGCTGGAAGGAGCTGCACTCACCGGGGACCCTGGGAGCCCCCAAACAGGGACAGCTCATCCGGGGTGAAGTCGGCATTGAGGAAGGCAAAGCTCTCCAGGATGTACTCCATCAGGCTCTCGGCTGAGGCGTGCTCCTGCCTCGCTCTGCAGGGCTGTGGACAGAGTGGCCAGACCTGAGGGCAGTGCCAGGCCCCACCCACCCAACTGGGGCACTGGCCAGGAGCCTCACTGCAGACCTGGGCAGTGTCCTGGTCCTGAGCCCCAATCCCACCCGCCGTCCCCCAGCACAAGCCCAGCTGCTGGCCCAAGGCATGGCACCAGACGTGGTACTCCCCACGGTCCCTCCTGAATGGCCTGTGACAAGGTAGGAGCAGAATCTGGAGGGAGACAGATCTGAAAATCCTCCCTGTATCGCACACATCCACAGGGACAGGGCCAACGGCAGGAGTGAGTGAGCGGCCCCAGCAGGGACCATGGCGGGGAGCGGGGAGGCGCTGCAGGAGCCTCCCCTAGGTGGGGGCCGTGCTCATTCCAGGGGCTCCTGCCATTTAGAAATGGGGGGCCTTGGGGCCAGCTTGCCCAGTGTTCTAATAAAACCCTAAAATATGGATTTTTATGGGAAACTGCCCGGTTTTGAAATATCAACAAATTCCAAAGTATTTTAAATACATGGTGTAGGTCAGGCAAATGCCTCTTCACGAGATTCAAAAGCCGCCAGATCGGCCTCTGGGTTCCAGGCTTCTCCTCCTCCCTGTTGGGTTTCTCTCTCCAACAGATGAAGGGAGTGCGCTGGAGCCCCCGCCCCGCCACTGCTCAAGTCACCAGAGCCTCCAGTGGCAACTCTCTCCCTGGAGATTTCTGTTCTGTCCCCAACTCATGGCTGACTCCAGCGCCAGTTCCTGCCCCTGTTCACCGCGCACCCACCCAGGCCTTGTCCACCACAAACCACAGCCAAGACACAGGCCCCAAGGCAAAACCAGGACCCTAAGCGCTGGGCCCAAAGAGAACATCTCGAGGACCAAGGGAATAACAAGGCTAGCTGCAGAGATCACATTTTCTGATACAAAAATATATGCGTACATATGTGTGTATGTGCGTGTCCATACACATGCATACAGGCGGCTGATTCTCAATATTTAAGGTAGTTATGTTCCAGAGGCCAAGGCAGTGGATCACTTGTGGGAGTTCAAGACCAGCCTGGCCAACGTGATGAAACCCCATCTCTACTAAAAAACAGCTGGGTGTGGTGGTACAGGCCTGTAGTCCCAGCTACTCAGGGGACTGAGGCAGGAGAATCGCTTGAACCCAGAAGGCAGAGGTTACAGTGAGCCGAGATCGCACCACCGCACTCCAGCCTGGGTGACAGAGCGATAATCCATCTCAAAAAGAAAAAAAAAAAAAGGGAGTTATATTTTATAAAAAAACAAAAAAAAAAAAAAAAAAAAAAAACGGAATCAGCAAAAGCAGAAGCATTGCTCCCTAAGAGAAATACTAGAGTAAGTTCCTGTGAACCCTTATATCAACTCAGCAGTACAGAACCTTGTATGTGTCTTTCAGTTTAAAGATACCTTATTTAATAGCTATTGGAACACCGTATTTAATAACTATTGTCAGCCAGACACAGTGGCTCATGCCTATAATCCCAGCACTTTGGGAGGCCAAGGCAGGTGGATCACCTGAGGTCAGGAGTTCAAGACCAGCCTGGCCAACATGGTGAAACCCCATCTCTACTAAAAATACAAAAATTAGCCGGGCTTGATGGCAGTTACCTATAACCCCAGGTACTCAGGAGGCTGAGGAAGGAGAATTGCCTGATGGGAGGTGGGAGAATTGGGAGGCAGAGGCAGGAACGTTGGGCCCAGCCCACAGGGCATGAGCAAAAGCCAGGAGGTTGCCGAAGTTGGGGGGAGTGAGTTGGAGGCAGGGATGGGGGTAAGTGCAGAGAGGGGACGGATGCTGGTCGCCTTGGCACACTTCAGTCATCCTGAGAATGTGGGCGGAGGTTGCAGTGAGCCAAGATTATGCCACTGCGCTCCAGCCTGGGCAACAGACTCCATCCCCCCGCCCAAAAAAAAAAAGGCTATTAATATATTAACATGGAACTCAACACGGCTACAACTCATGCCTGAAGGAAGATCATCTAACGTGCGTTTTCTCCGTAAGGCACTTCACGCTTCCTGGACTGAGGAACAGCAGCCGGCACTGAAGCTCTGGGCTTCCGAGGCATTTACACAGTAACACCGTCAACAAGAAGCACAAAAACTTGAAAACCATGGCACAAAATAGACCATGAGGACACCTGTTCACAGTTGAGCGCTGAAACGAGAAGGCAGAGCGTGCCTAGCTCCACCGCAGCTGGGAATGTGCGCTTCAAGAAGCTCAGATTTTCTATCCTCTGCACGGCTCCAAAAATGACTTTGGAATTGCCTCAAGTATTGATTTGGGGGTTAGAAATAAATTTTAGCAAGTAGATGAATTCCAAAATACAGAATCCATGAATGAGGATAAACTTGTATATACATATATGTGTGTATATATGCACTCACACGTGAATTTTTTTTTCTTTGAGTCTTACTCTGTTGCCCAGGCTGGACTGCACTGGTGTGATCTCAGCTCACTGCAACCTCCACGTCCCTGTATCTCAAATACCCACGGGGACAGGGCCAATGGCAGGAGTGAGTGAGCAGCAGGGCTCAAGTGATTCTCCTGCCTCAGCCTCCCAAGTAGCTGGGACTACAGGCGCATGCTACCATGCTTGGCTGTTTTTTGTATTTGAGAGATGGGGTTTTGCCATGTTGACCAGGCTGTTCTTGAACTCCTAGCCTCAAGCAGTCCACCTTCCTTGACCTCCCAAAGTGCTGGGATTACAGGTGTCAGCCACCGCGCCCAGCATCACACAGGTATTCATACACATAGTTGTGCATAAATGTGTGCGTAATTTCTCTCCAGAAAGTCAAACTAAAATACATGGTCTGTAATCAATTTGCATTGTTCTGACTTCGTTTACCAAAAAAAGAAAAGCTCCTCAGAGATGTGTAAAATGATTACATTATCGCAGCATTAACATTTTTATGTAAATTGGGGGTAATTTTTCAAAATGCAAATGTGTGACAATGTGCATGACTCAAATTGGTCTACAAAATAAAAGCTGTTAAAAAGTACAAAAAAGGTACAGGCGCAGTGGCTCACGCCTGTAATCCCAATGCTTCGGAAGACCGAGGCAGGAGGATCCCATGAGTCCAGGAGTTTGAGACCGGCCCGGGCAACAAAGTGAGACCCTGTCTCTACAAAAAAATAAACAAAATTAACCAGGCATGGTGATGTGTGCCTGTGATCTTGGCTACTCAGGAGGCTGAGGTGGGAGGATCGTGTGAGCCCAGGAGGCAGAGGTTGCAGTGAGCCAAGATCGCACCACTGTACTCCGGCCTGGGCCACAGAGTGAGACCCTGTCTCAAAAAAAGAAACGAAAAACATAAAATACCAAAAAGATGACATTATTTCTTAAATTGTTTACTGGAAATTTCCAGGCAGATCCTTCTTAACAACCATAGCAGTGGTAAAGGGAACATTTTAAGTTATGGATGTAAATTGAGAAATTAAACTTGTTTTCCCCTGGACTGGAGTTTGAAGAGAGCGATTAACTATTTCAGTGCCAATGTGTGTCTTACACAAAAGAGGGGAAAACGGAAAATAGCAAAATCAGAGAGGTACGCAGCCAGCCTGAGGTGCATAATGACCACGGGAAAACAGAGCAGGAAGGGATGGGGCTGCCGGGGCCGGGTGGGAGTCGCCATTTGAAAGAGGGTGTCCAGGCTGGGTGCAGTGGCTCATGCCTGTAATCCCGGCACTTTGTGAGTCATTTGAGGTCAGGAGTTCGAGACCAGCCTGGCCAACATGGTGAAACCCCATCTCTACTAAAAATACAAAAATTAGCTGGGCATGGTGGCGTGTGCCTGTAATCCCACTTCTTGGGAGGCTGAGGCAGGAGAATCACTTGAACCTGGGAGGAGGAGGTTGCAGTGAACCGAGATCACGCCACTGCATTCTAGCCTGGGCGGCAGAGCAAGACTCCATCTCAAAAAATAAATGAAAAATAAAAGAGGATGTCTAGGGAAGGATACAAGTTAATTGATGTATTAGTAGGTACTAGTGGTACACATTTTATGTACATTCAAATTTGTGTAAACACAAAAGGAGACTATAATAATTTGCCCAGGTCAGCACCTCTGAAAGCCACCTGCCACCTACACCCTCGTGTGAACTAAGAATGGCCCGGGATATGAGCCCTGTGGAGGAGAAGGTTGGGTTTGGGGGACACGCATGAGGCAGACAGGGAACTGTGCGGGGCATTCCACAAAGCCAGCTCTGACCGTGACGACACTCTAAATTTGGGTTTGTAGCCACAAGCTGCAGCCCTGCCCAGCCAGGTCAGAAGCTGCGAGATGGGGCTAGGTTCTGGTTGGACGTGCAGCAAGCTATCCACTGCGAGCTCTTAGAATCTTCCCGAGCCCCGTGAGGGCTGTTATCCCAACTTGTCCGATGAGGAAACCAAGGCCCAGAGAGACATGGCCCACCCAGGTCCCGCAGGGGTGAGCCCAGGACGCCAGCTCAGGCTGCCTGGCCCCAGAGCCCACACCCAGTCATCAGGCCATCAGCAAAGCCGGGGCGCTGCCCAGGGCAGGGGGACATACCTTCAGTCGATCTCGGAAGCCCAAGACCTGGTACTCCAGCTCCCGGAGCTGGGGCTGGGTAGAGTCTGTGGGCCTCAGCAACTCCAGGACCTCCTGCAGAGGCCGCTCGAGGACCAAGCCAGGCCCGTCCTCTCTGTCCCCGGTTGCCCCTTCCTCAGGGCCTTTCTGGCCGCTCGGGGCTGTGGCTGTGCCGTTGGGGAATGGGGAGCCCCGTGGCAGGCTGGGGCTCTCCACTCCCAGGTGCCTCCAGCCGGGCTGCTCTGCAAATGGGCCTCCCGAGAGGTGGGCCATCTGTGGCAGGACACCTGGGGACAGGGGGTCCTCCCGGGCCTCCTCTTCAATGGAGGCGTGGGGGCTGATGGCCAGGGGCAGGAAGCCCACATCGGAGGTGGATGCTGACGTACTGGTCTCTGTGTCTCGGGGGTCCTCAGAGCTGAAGGAGTCCATCTCAGGCAGCTCCTGACTCTGGCTTCTCAGGCTGGGACCCCGGAGGTCACTGTCAGACAGGTAGCTGAGGATTGGGGTGGCCCTGGGGCCACCCAGTAGCAAGGCCTGCTGCGTTGGCTGCTGTAGGACAGACTGGAGAGGGGACACAGGCACAGCCTCACCAGCCACCCCAGGGACCACAGCTAGGCCCCAAGAGGGGCTTCCCCTGACAGGCACTGCTCTGCATGCCCACATTCTCAGGAGGACTGAGGTCATTGAGGCGACCAGCATCCCAGAGCTGCTAACAAGACCTCATCCCCTCTCTGCAATTCTCCCGGCATCCCCACCTCCAACTCACTCCCCCAGGTTCGATGGCCTCCTGGGTGTTGCTCACGCCCTGTGGGCTGTGCCCCTGTTCCTGCCTCAGGGCCTTTGCACTGACTGTGCTCTCTCGAGCACACTCTTCCCCATGTGGCTTCACGGCTTGTGGCCTCACCTCCTCAGGACCTTACTTAGCTGTCACCTCCCCTGAGAACCCTGCCCTGGACACTCGCTTTATTTTTTTGAGACGGTGTCTTGCCCTGTTGCCAAGCTAGAGTGCAGTGGCACGATCTCAACTCATTGTCACTGAACCTCTACCACCCGGGGTTCAAGCGATTCCCCTGCCTCCGCCTCCCCAGTAGCTGGGACTACAGGCGTGCGCCACCACCCCTGGCTAATTTTTTGTATTTTAGTAGAGACAGTTTCACCATGTTGGCCAGGATGGTCTCCATCTCCTGACCTCGTGATCCACCCACTTGGCCTCCTGAGGTGCTGGGATTACAGGCGAGAGCCACCGTACCTGGCTGACACCCTTTTTTAAATGGCCCCTTCCTGCTGTCTCCCACAGTCCTTATGCCCCTCGGGCTGGCTGTGCGCTTCTGTGATCTTGATTATCATCTGTTTCTCCTGTAAATTTCAGCTCCATGAGGGCAGTCTTTGCCTGGCCTGGAGCACAGTAGGGCATAGTTTCACTTTTTTGTTTGTTTTGAAACAGTCTCGCTCTGTTGTCCAGGCTGGAGTGCAGTGGCACTATCTCAGCTCTCTGCAGCCTCTGCCTCCCAGGTTCAATCAATTCTCTTGCTTCAGCCTCCAGAGTACCTGGGATTACAGGCAGATGCCACCATGCCTGGCTAATTTTTGTATTTTTGTAGAGATGGGGCCTCACCATGTTGACCAGGCTGGTCTCGAACTCCTGACCTCAGGTGATCCGCCCGCCTTGGCCTCCCAAAGTGCTGGGATTATAGGTGTGAGCCACTGCATCCAGCCTAGTTTTGAATGAGTGAAGTGAATGAATGAATGAAGGGCCTGACACATATGCAGTGCTTGTCACCACAGAAACAGCAGCAGCTGTCATTAAGCATTCTGAGGCTGCCGGCCCCACTCCAGGGCCTTCACATCACATGTCATTGCCCTTTCCACGCCCCCTGGGGGTGGCACTGCCCTAATCTCGGAGAAGTCCTCAGGCCACACAGGCGGCAAGTACGGTGCTACAGTATGAATCTGGGTGCACGGACACGAACCCTCACCTCATCAGCTAGAACAATGATAATGGTTGATGTTATAACATCAACATTGTTGTAAGAGTTAACTAACTCTTACAACAATCCCGTAAGGGCAATGCTGCTATTCTCACTTCTCTATACAGAAGTTGAAGTCCAGAGAGAGCCGGGCATGGTGGTTCACACCTATAATCCCAGCACTTTGGGAGGCTGAGGTGGGTGGATCGGCTGATGTCAGGAGTTCGGGACCAGCCTGACTAACATGGTGAAACCCCGTCTCTACTAAAAATACAAAAATTAGCCGGGCGTGGTGGCATCTGCCTGTAATCCCAGCTACTCGCGAGGCTGAGGCAGGAAAATCACTTGAACCCGGGAGGTGGACGTTGCAGTGAGCTGAGATCACGCCATTGCACCCTAGCCTGGGCAACAAAAGCGAAACTCCATCTCAAAAAAAATAAAAAGACAGGGCATGGTGGCTCATGCCTGTAATCCCAGCTACTAGGGAGGCTGAGGCAGGAGAATCACTTGAACCCGGGAGACAGAGGTTGCAGTGAGCCAAGATCGTGCCAGTATACTCCAGCCTTGGGGACAGAGCAAGACTCCGTCTCAAAAAAAAAACCAAAAAGCAAAGAGGCTGGTGCACTTGCTGGTAGATGGCATTGCTGTCTCTGCAAGAATATGGGGGACCCTGACGACAGGAGTTGGCATTGAGGAGGGAACCCTGATCCATGGAGATGATGGGAAAGATGTTTTACTGGGCACTCTGTCAAAGTGGAAACATTAGGTTTAAAACAAGTAGGAGAAGGCCAAGGCTACGGCTGGGGTGGTAGGACCATCCCGAGAGCCCGTCGCAGACGTCCTGAAGAACCAGCCATGCCCAGCACCCAGGCCGGGATGGAAGCTGCCAGAGGAAGACAGCACACAGGAAAACACCCCGATCACCCCAAACGGGGGCTGGGCCTGCTACATCTGGGAGGGCCAGACTGCTCAGCCCAGCCCCCCGCGTGCTGCCCCCATTCCAGGGTGACCACAGCGGCCCGGCCCCAGAGAAGGCTCACTCACCAGGTAGTATCTCTCCCGGAAGCTGGGGGTGCTCGGGGGTGTCCAGTTGTACAAGGAGCCCTTCCTGCTGCCCATAGAAAACTTGCCTGTGGGGCTGGGTGACACCACGGAGCTCTCAGTATCAAACGGGCTGGAGGAGAGAACAGAAGGCCAGGATGCCATCGGCGCCCAGAGGCCATTTCAGGCCCAGATGGCCCCGGGGTTTCTTAGGCTCCACAGGTCGACTGGGTCGACTGTCTTCATCTTACAATACAACAGCATGGATGGTATGCAAGGAGCTCTGCTCTAAACCTTTTTTCTTTTTTGAGACAGGGTCTTGCTCTGTTGCCCAGGCTGGAGTGCAATGGTGCCATCACAGCTCACTGCATCCTTGAACTCCTGGGTTCAAGTGATCCTCCCGCCTCAGCCTCCGGTGCAGCTATGACCACAGGCATGCACCACCATGCTCGATTAATTTTTTAATGATTTTATTTTTTGTAAAGACAGGGTCTCGCCATATTGCCCAGGCTGGTCTCTAACTCCTGGGCTCAAGCAATCCTCCTGCCTCAGCCTCCCAAAGTGCTGGGACTACAGGCCGTGAGGCACTGAGCCTGTCCTCTACTAAACTCTTTACATGAATCCTTATTTCCACCCGCATGACAACCCTCTGTGGCCTGGAAAATGACTTACAGGGGAGGAAAGGAAGGCTCTGAGAGATGAGAGACTTGCTGAGGCCAGTGTCATAACCACGTGAGACAGAACTGAATTCACACAGATTTCTCTGACCCCAAAGCCTTAAAGACCACTAAGAGTGATGCTTACTCTTCAGACATCACTGCATTTAACGGATTTAAGAGGAAATGGGCTAGGTGCGGTGGCTCACACCTGTAATCCCAACACTGCGGGCGGAAGACTTGAGCTCAGGAGTTCAAGACCAGCCTGGATAACCCAGCGAAACCCCCATCTCTACAAAAAATGAATGCATTAGCCGGGCGTGGTGACTGACAAAGGCTTGTAGTCCCAGCTACTCAGGAGGCAGAGTGGGGAGGAGCACTTGAAAGTGGGAGACGGAGGCTGCAGTCAGCCGAGATCATGCCACTGATCTCCAGTCTGGACAATGGAGCAACACTATCTCAAAACAAAACAAAACAGGAAATGGAGGCTTGGGGAGGGCCAGGGCCTTGCCATGATCACAGGGGCAGCCTAGGAACTCTAGGTCACATGGCTTTGACCCCTTTAGAAACCTTTCTCAGGGCTGGGCACAGTGGCTCACACCTGTAATCCTAGCACTTTGGACGGCCTGAGTCAGGAGTTCGAGATCAGCCTGTCCAACATGGTGAAACCCTGTCTCTACTAAAAATACAAAAAGATTAGCTGGGTGTGGTAGTGGGCGCCTGTAATCCCACCTACTCGGGTGGCTGCGGTAGGGGAATCGCTAGAACCCTGGGGGGTGGAGGTTGCAGTGAGCCGAGATTACACCATTGTAGTCCAGTCTAGGCGACAGAGCAAGGCTCTGTTTCAATTAAAAAAAAAAAAAAAAAGGGGGGGGGGGGGGGAGGGGGGAAGAAACCTGTCTCAGATTCCGACCACCCTGAGAGCCCTTAGCCAGATGGCGAGGGGCAGCGACTGAGGCAGGAGAGTAGGGTCTGGAGGCAGGGAACCTCAGGCCAATTCATGCTGAATCAAGGTCTGAAGGGACAGGGAATCTAAGGCCAATTAACATAATCTTCCTAAAGTTAACGCAAAAGGAAAAACCTCGTTTCCCCAAACTGAGTAGCGATGGATCAAAGGCAACCTCCCTACAGCCTTCCCGCCTCCGCCTCAGCTCAGATGGAAAGGGAGGGTACCTTGGGTTGGCTGCTGGCCAAGCAGGGACCACCCCTCTATCTGCACAGGGCCACTCACCTCAGCCTTTAACCACAGACCAAATCCTTTATCCAGATAAGGGGTAGCCCACGGGAACCTTAGAGTACTTCAAGCCCGGGAAACTTTGTGATGAGGTCCTTGAGCCGCATGCTCGGGCCCACTCCCACCCTGCCGAGTGCTTTCTCGTTTTTTTTTCTTGAGACAGTTTCACTCTGTCGCCCAGGCTGGAGTGCAGTGGCACTGTCTTGGCTCCCTGCAGCCTCCTACTCCCAGGTTCAAGGGATTCTTCTGCCTCAGCCTCCAGAGTAGCTGCGACTACAGGCCTATGCCACCAAGCTTGGCTAATTTTTGTGTTTTTAGTAGAGACAAGGTCGCCTTATTGGCCAGGCTGGTCTTGAACTCCTGACCTCAGGTGATCCGCCCCCTGCAGGCCTCCCAAAGTGCTGGGATTACAGGCGTGAGCCGCCATGTCCAGCCTGCTTTAACAGAGCCCTGCTGCTTCATTCCCATTTCCTTTCTCTGCTCCTTTTGTATATTTTGTTCAAGTCTTTGTTCAAAACGCCAAGGATCCAGACAATTCATTGTCAAGACCCTCCACCAGTAACAACTGGACACCCCCAATTAGAGGCTCCTTTGAGAAGCTCAGCCGATGAACAGGTGACACTCGGTTCAGACCCCTTGTCTGTAAAAAGGGTGCCCTTACAGAAGAACGTCTGTGGGGAACATGCACAGGGAGGGGTGGGAATCCAGACAAGCTTGTGGGAGCGCCAAGGTGAGTGATGTGCAGCCCGGCCTTACCCTGGGGCCCGCGCCCAGCCCTGCACTCGGAGCAGGTAGGTCCCCGTAGACCCTCCTGCCTCGAAGAAACCTGCTGTTATCTGCACAAAGGCCTGGCTTGTGGCACCTGGACCCAGCCTGACCAGAAGGCCTACAGCTCAGAGGCTCTGCAAATGCCTTCTTCTCTGCCCGGGGCATCTGCAGACCTGCAGACCCATAGGCCCTCTGGGTCCTAGTCTTGGATGGCACTGAGCTGCCCACCACCCTGTATGCGTCAGGGGCCCCCCCGGGCAAGAGGTATTCTCAGCCCTACCAAGCAGATGAGGATCTTGAGGTGCCAGGTAGTCGCTCACCTGAATTATCCCAGCTGACAGGGGAGAGGGCAGCAGCTCTGTGACCCCAGCTCATGTGCCCGCCCTAGGGAGTGGAGAGCCCCGACTGGCCAGAGCAAGCAGAGAACGAAGGAGGCACCTCGGCCCTCCCTCCTGCTGCCCCTGGCCTGGGGAGTAAGAAGGGGACGCCCTGGAGATGCAAGGCTTCCTGGAACAAAGAGCTCCAGAGCCCACCACGCTCATGGGCATGTGACACGGGGTGTGCTCACGGACATGGGCCTCATGGATCTGTGGCTGAGATGGGGACGCAGGTGACTGCTCAGCCCTGGGCCTGGAGGCAGCCAGGGTAGGCCAGGAATGAGGGGGTGGGAGCAGCAAGGAGGGCCTTCCTAGACAGGTGAGCCTACTCCAAGGAACCGAGCCCAGGAGGCCCCGGAAAGTGTCCCCCCAATCTGAGTCCCTGGGGCTTTAATACCCAGGGGTTCCGAAGCAAGAATGGAAGCAAAGCCGGAAAGGCAGGCGGGGGCTGCAGAGAAAGTCCAGGCCTCCAGCTGACTGAGGGGCAGGAGTGAGGGACAGATAAGGACCCGTGAGGGCAGGGACACCCTTGGTGGAGGCTGGTACAGGAACCCAGGGCCAGAGTGTGGCCAGGCCACCAGGGTCAGCCCGCCAGGCCTCCCCTCTCCCCCAGCACCAGGCAGGACTCACTTCCACTGCATCTCCAGCTGCAGCTTGATAGTGCCCAGCTCCGTGATGTCCACCACGATGACCTGCGGCCGCGTCGTGAAGAAGTCAGCGATGTCACATGTCACTGCGCCCACAGCCAGTGAGCCCAGGCCCCGCAGCTCTGTCACCTGGGGGTGGGGGCTGGAGGGTGGTGTCTGAGCCGAGCACCCAGGCACCCCAGCCCCACCCCCAGCCCCATCCCCACCTTGATGTCCAGATTCTCGTGCAATGTGGGGATGAAGGCCTTCTCCTCTTCGTCCCAGGTCTGGCTGTCATCCGACTCGATCCGACCCTTGAGCTTCCAGCGCTGGCGGCCCAGACGCATGAGCACCTGTGAACCAGCCCGAGAGGGGCTGTGTCAGCCCCGGAGGGTGTCCCCTCGACGCCTGCCCAGGGCCCTCCCTGCCAGACAGGGCCTCAGCTGCAACCCTGGTTCCCAGCAGCTCCAGTCTCCCAAAGACCTGGTAGGGAGCCCTAAGGATTGACCCCAGAGGGTGGCCATACCTCATACTGGTCTCCGGGACAGAGGCGTGCGTAGCCCACCAAGCCTGGAATGCAGATACGGCCAGTCTCCCCTCCGCCTTCCACTGTCCCTGACCCGGGACCACAGGTCCTCTCTGGGGGTCCCCCAAGTGTAGGTTTTCAGGTTCAGGGGGCAGGGATGCACTGTCATGATGGATGATGGACAGGAGGGTGCTGGGCCCTCACACCAGGCTCAGAGAGGGGTAGGACTTGCCAGAGGTCACATGTCACAAGGATGCAAAAGTCACGGTCAAGCTCAGACCCCTGGGATCCCGGTGAGATCCCCCCTTCAGCAGAAGCCTCAGGGCCTCCAGGAAGGCCTCCGCCCGCCCCCTTCAGCCCTATCACCTTTCATCCTGATGTGGAACTGGCCCAGGTGAACCTCCAGAGCCCCCTCGATGAGCCACATGTCCTGCGAAGCCCCAGAGGTGACTCAGGTGGCTGCCTGGGGCGAGGCCACGGGAGCCTCTCACTGTCCCTGCAGCCAGACAGAGGCCACAGGCAGAGACGCCTCCTCAGGGCCAAGAGCACCTCCCCCGACCCCCGCTGGCCCAGCCCTGGCTGCCCCCACTGCCCAGCCCAGCTTGGCCCAGCCTACCTCGGCACACTCCTGCAGGCTGCGGCCCAGCTCCTGCAGGCTTTCTCGGGCTGCGCGGCTCGGGGGGCACCTGGCGAAGGCCTGCTGCATGCTGGAGACGCCGTCGCGCAGGCGGCACTGGATACAATAGTCCTCGTACAGCTCGTCCACCTGTGCCAGGCACCAAGGGGCAGCCCCGCACCTGCATGTCTACTTCTCCCCCCTGGGAGAGGCCGTCCCTGAGCTAAGCACCCCCCACCCCAACCCCACCCCATCCCAGCTGGTGGCGGCAGTCACCACCTGCCCAGTCCCACTCAAAGCACTCCCCGCTGGCCCCGGTAGAACGTGAGCCCCCAGAGGCAGGGACCCACCCGTCTCCTGACTCCCCCGCCTCCCCGGCACCCCGCCTCACCTGCTGCATACCCAGCCCCTGGCAGCAACTGGCGCACAGTGTGCACGGCAAAAATGAGTAAACAAGAAAAGCGAATCTGTCCCTTCTCCTCCTCTGCCTGGCTTTTTTTTCCCTAGCTCCTGCTAATCTAGCTGAGGCCTAACAAGCTGGCACTGCCCCGCCCCACACCCTGCAACACCCACGAGCCTGCTGACCTTGCTGATGTGAAACTCCATCTTCCGAATGTGCCTTTCCACACAGCGTGTTTGCTTCTCCCAGAAAAAGGGAAGATGTTTGCAAAGTCGCCTGGGCACCCCGCCAGCCCCGCCTGCCCCGCCACCCTCCTGCAGGTCCTAAGGCAGAGAAGGGGGCTTAGAGCCAGGCCACCCCTCACCATCCCCTAGGAAGGCTCATTGCAGAGCCTCTGCCTTCCCATTCCTCAAATGGGGAAGAAACCCAGGGATTCTGCCCATGGGGCAGCCAGGAAGATGCAATGAGACACGGTCATTCTCATCCAGCCGGGCCTAGCCCACCTCACTCATCGTACACAGACTTACCTTGTCCAGGTCATAATAGAAAGCCTGTCGGGGAGAAAGGAGAGTGGAAGAAACTGTCAGCGTCCCAGATGCTCCTCCAAGACCTATGAGGCTCTATCATGGCAGCACCTGAGCTTAGGGGACAAGAAGCCATGCCTACAGCCACCCCTGCTCCTTCCTCTGCCAATGGCAGGCTGCTGGCCATGCCAAGGATGGCAGTGATTAAACACATGCATGCTGGATGATGCGGTTCTAGGTCTGGCTTTTCTATTTCCCAGCTGTGTGCCCCAGGCAAGACATTTAACCTCTCTGGGCCTCCATTTCCTCATATGTAAAGCAGGGTAGGAGAAGCGCCTCCCTCATAGGGAGAAAAAGGGACACAGTAGGCACTTCACAAAATGGGAACCATTGGGATTAAAGGGATGGCTTCGGTCACGCCCAAAAGAACGTGAGGGGGATGGAACAGATGGCACACAAGTTCAAGCCTTCATGGCGAATTCTTCAGTTCAGTCCATCCATTCCAGGGGCCAGGGTACAACCAAGACAAATAATATATCATCAGGGCAGGCAAACCTTTCCATATCTTTCTGAAAGGCAGATAGTAAATATTTCAGGCTTGGCATTCCAGGGCGCCCCATGCCAAGATCTATAAACTAGGACCATCCTAGATAGTACAGTGGCTCATGCCTGTAATCGCAGCACTTTGGGAGGCTGAGGTGGGTGGATCACCTGATGTCAGGGGTTTGAGACCAGCCTGGCCAACATGGTAAAACCCTGTCTCTACTAAAAATATAAAAAATTAGCCAGGCATGGTGACAGGTACCTATAATCCCAGCTACTCGGGAGGCTGAGGCAGGAGGATTGCTTGAACCCGGGAGGTGGAGTTTGCGGTGAGTCGAGGTGGTGACATCGCACTCCAGCCTGGGCAACAAGAGAAAGTTTTGCTCTAAAGAAAAAAAAAAAAAAAAAAAAAAAAGGTAGGACCATTCTGGTCAGGCACAGTGGCTCACCCCTGTAATCCAACACTTTGTGAGGCGGAGGTGGTCAGATCACTTGATGTCAGGAGTTCAAGACCAGCCTGGCCAACATAGCAAAACCCCATCTCTACTAAAAATACAAAAATTAGCTGGGCATGGTGGTGCATGCCTGTAATCCCAGCTACTCAGGAGGCTGAGGCAGGAGAATCACTTGAGCCTGAGAGGCGGAGTGAGCCAAGATTGCACCACTGCGTGCCAGCCTGGGCGACAGGTGAGACACTATCTCTTAAAAAAAAAAAAAAAAAGTGACCATCTAAAACATACACATATTTGCCTATCTTAAAGTTACCTCTAGAACCAAGAAAGATTGAGAAGTGGGCCTAAGACATGTGAACTGCTGTACCTACCTGTGGGGTTAAATTCATCAGGGTCAAAGTTCTATCCTAACTCAGCCCCTCTGCCACCATAGCGTGGAAGCAGCCATAGGCAGTATGTAAATGGACGCGTGTGGCCAAGAAACTCTTTTTTAAACAAATGTTTAACAAACACAAATGTTTAAAAAAACATTTGTTTTTTAAGTGACTCTAAATTTGAAATATAGCGATCGAATCTCCCCTGGCTGTTAACTGGCAGTAGAAATGAGAGTCACTATATCTGAGCCTGAAGGGTTACTGTGGACATCCACCAGGGAGAGAAAGGAAGGCGTAGGAGAGCATGCCAATTGAGATTTCTGGCCGGGTGCGATGGCTCACACCTGTAATCCCAGCACTTTGGGAGGCCAAGGCAGGAGGATCACCTGAGGTCGTTCAAAACCAGCCTGGCCAACATGGTGAAACCCCATCTCTTTAAAAAAAAAAAAAAAAAACCACATTTCTTTTTTTGGCTCATTGCAACCTCCGCCTCCCGGGTTCAAGCAATTCTCCTGCCTCAGCCTCCTGAGTAGCTGGGATTGCAGGCACATGCCACCATGCCCGGCTAATTTTTGTATTTTTAGTAGAGACGGGGTTTCACCATGTTAGCCAGGCTGGTCTCGATCTCCTGACCTCATGATCCACCTGCCTCAGCCTCCCAAAGTGCTGAGATTACAGGCTCAAGCCACTGCGCCCGGCCAAGATTTCATTTTTGTAAGACAACTATTAACTCAAAACTGCTAAATACATTTACATGATTATGTGACCAGAGAGAAAACTATGGAAAGATCAATACAAGATCGTTCTCAAGGGTTAAACAGGGTGGGACACAGATTGAGTGGAGGAGGGTATCAATCAAGAAAGAAGGATTCAACTCCAAAAAGTCCCATGTATGTATGATGAAATAAAAACTCCATTTAAGCCAGGCGAGGTGGCTCACACCTATAATCCTAGCGGTGATTTGGGAGGACAAGGCAGGAGGATCATTTGAGCCCAGGAGTTCAAGACCAGCCTGGGCAACACAGCAAGACCCCATCTCTACAAAAATTTAAAAATTAGCCAGGCCCAGTGGGACACACCTGTAGTCCCAGCTATTCTAGAGCCTGAGGTGGGAGGGCTGCTACCTTGAAGGTTACAGTGAGCTGTGATCGCACCACTGCACTTCAGCCTGGGTGACAGAGTAAGACCTTGTCTCTTTAAGAATAAATATTTTTTAAATTAAGAAACAATTAAAACTCCATTTAAAAAATAAAGAAATAGGCTGGGCACAGTGGCTCACACCTATAACCTAGCATTTTGGGAGGCTGAGGTGAGTGGATCACCTGAGGTCAGGAGTTTGAGACTAGCCTGGCCAACATGGTGAAACCCCCTCTCTACTAAATAAAAAATACAAAAATTATCCTGGTATGATTTTGTGCCTGTAATCCCAGCTACTCAGAAGGTTGAGGCAGGAGAATCACTTGAACCTGGGAGGTAGAGGTTGCAGTGAAAGGGGATGGCACCACTGCGCTCCAGCCTGGGCCACAGAATGAGACTCCATCCCAGGGGAAAAAAAAAAAAAGACAAAAAGGGAAGATCCCAAGCCTTTGAAAAGAACACTGACTACCCAGCAATGTCTCAAAAACCAACATGTTGTTGAAATGAGAAGCAACATGTCACGGGGGCAGGACCCGACATAGGCATCCCTCTGCCTGGCTCTGCATAGTCACCCTGCCCGGCCTCAGTGTGCCCATCTAACACGGGAGCAGCTAAAACATACACGTATTTTACACTTGCCTACTTTAGAGTTACTTCTTGAACAAAGAGAATGGGAAGGGAACTCCACGGGGTGAGACTTGCACCTGTGTGAGAAGAGGGGAGGGTGCTGGAGCTGGGTGAGATCTTGGCAGCACCTCCTCCCACCATCTGCTGCTGGTCACCACCCAACCGCCCACCAAGGGCGAGGCATGCTGAGCTTGACAGACCTTTCCCTCCCCAAGTCCCTGGCACATGCAGGCTGGGTCCCTGCCTCTCCCACCCTGCCGGCCCTGAGGTCTACTCTGCTGGAGCCAGGATACAGGAATGGCAGCTTGCTTCTTTTTCATTCATTCATTCATTCATTCATTCATTCATTCAGAGTCTGGCTCTATTGCCTAGGCTGGAGTGCCATGGTGTGATCTCACCTCACTGCAACCTCTGCCTCCTGAGTTCAAGCTATTCTCCTGCCTCAGCCTCCCGAGTAGCTGGACTACAGGCGCACACCATTATGCCCGGTTAATTTTTGTATTTTTAGTACAAATGGGGTTTCACCATGTTGGCCAGGCTGGTCTCAAACTCCTGATCTCAAGGGATCCACCTGCCTCGGCTTCCCAAGGTGCTGGGCCGCTGGATGCTATTTTGGTAGGAAAATTCATCTCCGCTTCTCATTTTCCCAGTTCCTCAGTCAAGCTGGTGGCCTGCTCTGCATGTTGGTGCTTTGGAGGAGGGATTCTGGGAAACACTGGCTGGGAGGAGGATCCCGCAGCAGCAAGACCTCCTTGCTTTTGTTTCCAAATCTAATTCATTAAGGACATGTGGGGTTTTCACAAGACAGCAGTGGAGAGATTTCCCAGATGAAAGGAAGATCCTCCCACCAAAGATGGAAATCTCGGAATCACCAGATAAAATATAGGACACCTAATTAAAATTTTCAGTAAACAAGGAACAATTTTTTAGCATATGTCCCAAAGATTACATGGGATATACTAATACTAAACAAATTTGTAATTCGTCTGAAAATCAAATTTAATGACAGGCCAGGCACAGTGGCTCATGTCCGTAATCCCAGCACTTTGGGAGGCCGAGGCAGGCAGATCACTTGAGGTCAGGAGTTTGAGACCAGCCTGGGCAACCTGGTGAAACCCTGTCTCTACTAAAAATTAAAAAAAAAAATAAAAAAAGATAAACACAGCTGGGCACAGTGGCATGTGCCTGTAATCCCAGCTACTCAGGAGGCTGAGGCAGGAGAATCACTTGAACCTGAGAGGTAGAGGTTGCAGTGAGCCAAGATCATGCCACTGCGCTCCAGCCTAGGCAACAGAGTGAGACTTCGTCTCAAAAACCAAACCAAAAAAAACAATGCCAGGCTCAGTGGCTCACACCTGTAATCCCAACACTTTGGGAGGCCGAGCTGGGCAGATCACGAGGTCAGGAGATCGAGACCATCCTGGCCAACATGGCGAAACCCTGTCTACTAAAAATACAAAAATTAGCCATGCGTGGCGACGCATGCCTGGAGTCCCAGCTACTCGGGAGGCTGAGGCAGGAGAATCGCTTGAACACAGGAGGCAGAGGTTGCAGTGAGCCGAGATTGTGCCACTGCACTCCAGCCTGGGTGACAGGGTGAGACTCCGTATTAAAAAAATTTTAATGGGGCGTGCTATTTGTGAGTGTGTGTGTGTGTGTGTGTGTGTGTGTGTGTGTGTGTGTTTTGCTAAGTCTGTCTCTGCTAAGGGAGAAGGAAAAACCAGAGCAGGTGAGCCTTAGGCAACAGAAGGCCCAGGGCCGGCCTTGGAGACACTGCCTTGGCCAGCGCAGTGCCTCACACCTGTAATCCAGCACTTTGGGAGGCCGACAAGGGAGGATTGCTGGAGCATGGGAGCTCAAGACCAGCCTTGGCAACATGATGGGACCTCATATCTACAAAAAATTAAAAAATTAGCTGGGCATGGTGGTACATGCCCGTAGTCTCAGTTACTTGGGAGGCTGAGGTGAGAGGATCGCTTGAACCCGGGAGATGGAGGTTGCAGTGAGCCGAGATTGTGCCACTGCACTCCAGCCTGAGCGACAAAGGGAAATCCTGTCTCAAAAAACAAACAAACAAAAAAGACACTGTCCTGATGATGGCAGGAAACGCTGCCTGGCAGCTGGACATTGGAGAAACATGCAGGCGTCATCAAGGACAGCAGCAGAGGCCACTGTGACATACCCAATATTCAACACCTAACCCACTTTCCTGGCATCACAGAAGCCACCCCACGTCCAGATCACCTGATGGCCAAGGTCTATAAAGCAGGACCACCTAAAACAAATGCGCCTCTATCCACTGCCCACCTTAGCGCAACTTCTAGAACCGAGAGTGCAACGTGGGCCTCAAATGTGGGAACTGCTGTCTGCGTCAAAGTGAAATTAACTTAGCACAACATAAAGAGTCTACTCCATAAACCTCTAGCTCAGAGACAGACTCACACCGTGCCACAGGCTGGGGGAAGGGAGGGGTCTCACCAGCCTCGAATTCCTCCTGGTGTCCTTGTGGCACCCAGACAGGCGGTCCAGCTCAGCCTGCTGCACACACAGATGCTCCCTGCAAGGAGGGTAAGGAAGAGTTTCAAATGGAAGAGGAAAAAGAAAGGGAAAGGAAACAGGCCAGATGGACAGTGTCCCTGTGTGGAGAGCAGATACGGGGCTCAGGGGCAGCCAGGAAGCCCTGCGCCCTCACACTGAAGGCTGTGCGCCCAGCACCACAACAAACGGGTTACAGGGAGGTCCCCAGTTAACTCCCCCACCAGGCCCACAAGTAGGTCCTACTGTTGTTATATGCATTTTATTTATTTTTATTTTGAAACGAGGTCCCACTGTCTGCCAGTCCAGAGTGCAGTGGTATAGTCACAGCTCACTGCAACCTGTGCCTCCCAAGTTCAAACGATTCTTGTGTCTCAGCTTCTTGAGCAGCTGGGACTACAGGCACGCCACCAAACCTGGCTGATTTTTATATTTTTAGTAGAGACGGAGTTTCACCATGTTGGCCAGGTTGGTCTCGAACTCCTTGATCTAGGGTGATCTGTCTGCCTCAGCTTCCCAAAATGCTGGGATTACAGGCGTGAGCTACCATGCCCAACCTAGTATACATATTTTAGAGATGGACAAACCAACCCTTGAAGGTAGCAAGTACCCCAGCCCTGGTCACACAGCAGAGAAGAGGCTGAACCCAGGTTTGAAAGCACACAGTGGCCTCAGATCCCAAAATCTTCACCTCCATGTTATAGCCCTCCCAAGCTGAGGCCCAGCTCACGGGAAGGCCAGCATGGCACACTTCCCTCATGGTCAATGGTCTAGATTTGCCAGCCAGGACAGGAGTCCCATCTTGCTAGATTTGCTGAGTCACCCCAGGAATGTCACTCACGCTCTCTGGGCTATACTGACATCACCTCAAATGTGGAAGAGATAGCTTGTACCAGGCTGCTACTCACTGAGGCGTTGAGCTCTCTGGGAAGAAGCGGATGCCTTGGCCCCAGACAAGTCTCAAACATGTGGTCCTTCAAGGACACAGAAGCTCCCTTCGGAAACACGCCTCTCCCCACCATGCACACCCAGCCCCCACTCCGCACAATCACCGCTCACTGCAGCCTCCACCTCCAGGCTCAGGCAATCTCATTTCAGACTCCCGAGTAGCTGGAACCACAGGTGCATGCAACCATGCCCAGCTAATTTTATGTATTTTTTGTGGAGACAGGGTTTTGCCACGTTGCCATGCTGGTCTCGAACTCCTAGGCTCAAGGAATCCACCTGCCTCAGCCACCCGAAGTCCTGGGATTACGGGGTGAGCCACTACGCCCAGCCAAAGATGTATATTTTGAAAACCGTTTCATTCTAAGGTGGTTTAAACTTTTAATTGACTCTGGTTCCTCTTTGGGCTGCCCCGTCTATAAAAAGAGATGCAGGTAGGAGAGAATTTAGGGTCTAAGTACCACTGTATCTGGGCAAAATCACTCCAGAAACCACTCTTCAGCCCACAAAGGCCCCTGTCATCTGGTCCCCGTCGCCCCGTGACCTCATCCTCTTTCCTTTGGCCCTAGCCACGCTGGCCTCCTTGCTGCACCCCAGGGCCTTTGCATGTGTGGCTACTCTGGCCTGGAATGTTCTTTTGCCATTGTCTGCATGGCTCACTCCTTCACCCCTTCAGGCGTGTGCTCCAGTGTCACCTTCTTAGCAAGGCCTTCCTTCCAACAGCCCAATTTAAAATGAACCCTCCCTGCCTCTGCCAGCTTACCACGGCCTGTTTTCCACTGCAGCCCTTACCACCATCAGACATTCTCTGTGCTTTTTCTGTATTGTGTATCATGCGTCTCTCCCCGACTAGGAGTCAGCTCCTCGGAGGGATAGAGATTTCCTGTGTTTAGTTTACTTCTGTCCCCTGGCCGGACACTCTATATGCCTTAGTAAGTATGTGCGGGCTGCGCTCGGTGGCTTACACCTGTAATCCCAGCACTTTGGGAGGCCGAGGCAAGGAGATTACTTGAGATCAACATGGCAAAACCCTGTATCTACTGATGATACAAAATATCAGCTGGGTGTGGTGGCGTGTACCAGTAGTCCCAGCTGGTCAGGAGGCTGAGACAGGGGAATTGCTTGAACCCCACAGGTGGAGGTGGCAGTGACCCAAGATTGTGCCACTGCACTGGAGCCTGGGTGACAGAGTGTCAAAAAAATAAAAAAATTTGTGGAGTGACTCGCTCTTCCTGGACGAGCCTCAGCCCAGCTCATCAGTCACTCTCTGAGCAAGTCTGTCCCTCGCTGGGACACCCGCTGCCCTGACCTCCTGCATGTGTGAGCTCATGGTACAGGCTCCCACTGCGGGGCCTTTGCCCGTGCCATTGCCTCTGCCGACAACACCCGTCCCCCAGAAGTGAGCATGGCAGCAGCTTTTCAGACTGTTCACGTGTCAGACGCTGGCGGCACCTCCTCGGTGCATACCAGGATCCTCCTCTCCGCCGACGCCCTGGATACACCATCTCTCCATTACCTTTCTTCACTGCACTCAGCACAGGCGGAAGTTCCATGACTGACTGCATGATCGGACTGTATTGCTTCTTTATTGATGGCATCAAATCTGCTCCTCTGTACTTCACGCTCTACAAGCCCAGAGTCCTCCTGCCTTAGTCACTGCCAGGTTCCCAGCACCCAAGGACCAGGCTGAGCACACGCCACACCCTGACCTACATGTTGACTAAATGAATGGCCAGGAACTTAACCTGTCACGTCTTATAGACAGACCCACCCACACTTCCCCAGGAAAAGACAGAAGTGAGGTAGAAGAATGCATTTCTTAGAGGCAACACACAGCCCAGCCTTACTTGAGGCCTCTTTTCAATGCTTCAAAGATCTTCTTCACCTGCTGAGGCTTGGGATCCACACAGACCGACCCCTTCCGCAGCGTGCTGTACATCTTGGAGGATTTTGCAGGCATTCGCAATCTCACAGAATTCCTGCTGATGGACTTTCTGTAAGAAGGGATGGAGGGGAAGAGAGGTCAGAGCAGGGCCCTGACAAAGCCCCCCCGCCAGGGGCAGGCACTTTGGAAATAGTGAGCAGAACCATAGGGAGTCAGGATACCTGGCTCAGTCCCACCCCCATCACCACCAAGCAGTGTGTTCTCCAGAAATGTGTGGAGTTTCCCTTGGCCTCTGCTTTCTCATCTGTGAGATAAGGAGCCCGGGCCGGGTGTGGTGGCTAACACTTGAAATCCCAGCACTTTGGAAGGCTAAGTTGGGTGGATCACCTGAGATCAGGGGTTCAAGACCAGTCTTGCCAACATGGCAAAACCCTGTTTCTACTAAACATATAAAAATTAGCCAGGCAGGGTGGCACGTGCCATAATCCCAGCTACTCCAGAGGCTGAGGCACGAGAATCACTTAAACCCAGAGGCAGAGGTTGCAGTGAGCCGAGACTGCATCACTGCACACCAACCTCAGCAACAGAGTGAGACTCTATCTCAAAAAAAATACAAATAAAAAGAAATAAAAATAAGGAGCCTGGATTTGAAGATTAAAAGAACAGTGATAAAAATCTGGTAACAGAAATGAACTTCCAGCGAGAAATACAATCAAGCAGCCTAAACACCAGTGCTCTCTGATCATAACACTCTGCCTGTGCAGGCAAAGCCATGTGGGAGGCCAAGTCATAGTCCTCTACTTTGCCTGGCATCTGTTAGCTTTACCTGTCCAACATCCATTCCCCTCTCTCTAGCAGTAGCACCTCGATCTTCCTCTGGGGTACCTCCCCAGCTCTGCTTTTGTACTTGTGGTCTGGGGGGTAAGGTAGCCTGACCAGTCAACAAGCGCACACACATTTGCACACGCACACGTGCACGTGGACATTCTCCGGCAAATCCACATCCCAGGCCTGCATTAGTCAACGTATTCTGCTCCTCTGGCCAAGGAGAAGCATGGGGCACAAGCCTGGTCTGTAACCAGCCAGGAGTTCAGCATTCACAGAAGGGAAAAGGGTTTTTTCCCCTGTGGCATTGCTAACTGGGGAACACACGCCTGGGACTTCCAGCCTCCTCCTTTTGCCACCATGTAGGGAGACTGGGGCCAACACGGAGAGGAGCAAAGAGAGTCAGGCCAGATCCACATGCCAGTGAGTTCCTGGATCCAGCTACATCTAAAGCTGAACCTGCCCATGGACTTGGCAGTTGCATGAGCCAGCTGGCTCTCTTTTTTGCTTATCCAGCTGGATTCGGGGGTGTGGACTGGATGATCCTAAGAACTGCCTTTCCATGGTGATGGAAAGGCAGTTTCCATCTGTTGGGTCCCTCAACCTCTACAGACGTAGCAGCATCTCAAGACTGATGACAGGATACGAGGCCAGGACATCCTCATCACAGCAGAGCTGGTTTCCTTGACATCTAAGCCCCTTCCAGGAGCCCATTATTTTCCCACCGGGCGGGAGGACCAGGCTGGCTGATGCAGCCTTTGCTCACCCCCAGATGTGTTGAAGTCCGCTCTTCACTGGCCAGACGCCCTGACACGAGCTATGACTTAATGACAACATTCTCACCAAAGAGACATGGCAGGAATGACTCTTAGAATTAACTTTGACACCAGGTAGTTTTTTGTTTTTTTTTTTAGATGGAGTCTCACTGTCGTCCAGCCTGGAGTGCAATGGTGCCATCTTGGCTCACGGCAACCCCCACCTCCCAGGTTCAAGCGATTCTCCTGCCTCAGCCTCCCAAGTAGTAGCTGGGATTACAGACACACACCACCACACCTGGCTAATTTTTCTAATTTTAGTAGAGATGGGGTTTCACCATGTTGGCCAGGCTGGTCTCAAAATCCTGACCTCAAATAATCCACCTGCCTCAGCCTCCCAAAGTGCTGGATGACAGGCGTGAGCCACAGGGCCTGGGTCGGTGTCAGTTCTTACAGGAGACTACTGGCCCTTCTCTTCCATCTCCTCTTTCCCCAGGGGCAGGAACAAGGATATGCTGAAAGCAGTTTCAACCACAGGCACCAACCCACTCCAAAAGCTGGCTGAGCAACAAGAACGAAGGAATAGGCCCTGAACAGCCCTGTGAAGCAGACCCCCGCTGCCCCCGCATATGCCATCGACCACCCACTTCACACCCACTGCTGTGAACTGTGGAGAGAGAGAGGGAAGAATAACCGATCTTAATCAAGCACCTGTATTCTGGGACTCCTCCTGTCAAAGCAACTTCACCTCTACAACAACTATCCAAGCCTCTGTCGTTTCACCGGTAAAATGGACCACATAATACAGAGGGTGGTGGTAAGAATTCTATTAGATACCAGGCCCAAAGTGTGGCAGAAAGGAAACCTTTTACAAGCGAGCTATTGTTACAATCACCACATTCTATCTGCAGCTATCCCCTGGCTCACGGCTTTGAAAATATCAGGCGCAGCCCAGCGCGGTGGCTCATGCCTGTAAACCCAACACTTTGGGAGGCCAAGGCAGGTGGATCACAAGGTCAGGAGTTCAAGACCAGCCTGGCCAACATGGTGAAACCCCATCTCTACTAAAAATACAAAAATTAGCTGGGTGTGGTGGCGGGTGCCTGTAGTCCCAGCTACTCGGGAGGCTGAGGCAGGAGAATCCCTTGAACCTAGGAGACAGAAGTTGCAGAGAGCTAAGATCGCACCAGTGCTCTCCAGCCTGGAGTGAGACTGTCTCAAATTTAAAATATACATATATATTAGGCACTTGGTAAATATTAAGCTTGGCTGAATGGGGGAAATACAGCGTGCCAAGGGAATTGGAAAACAGAGATCCTGGCCCTGCAGGCAGCTCGGGACAGTGAGTGCATGCCCGGGTGTTCCCAGCCAGGGACAGAGGAACATAATGACAACATTCTCACAAAAGAGACATGGCAGAAACGACTCTTAGTACTAACTGTGGCATCAGAGGGAGCTGGGGGGAGGGGGACCTGGTGCGCTCTGGGGTGGACAGCAAGGAGTAAGGTTTGACCCAAGCAGGCGTGGGGGGCTGCAGAGGGCCTGGACACAGGGCCTCTCTAGCTTTGGGGACCCAGGATGTGTGAGAGGAGAAGGGCAGCTCCCAGAGAAAGCCCAGCTTCCCACACCTTTACAATGACACGTAATGTCTCTGTAGAGCAGAGAAACTGAGCTCAGGCCAGGGCTACTGGGTTGCTGAACAGCTGACACCACGAGCCCAAGGGCTCCGGGGGCTTCGTGAGAACACATGGGCCGTCGGTAACTGTGGACACCTGCTACCGCCAGGAGCACGCTGAGGGTTTTATAGAAGTATCTCGACTTTCACAACCACCCTATGAGACAGGTATTGTTATTATTTTGAGAAAAAGTTTGTTCTGTCGCACAGGCTGAAGTGCAATGGCACCATCTCGGCTCACTGCAACCTCCACCTCCCAGGTTCAAGCAATTCTCCTGCCTCAGCCTCCCGAGTAGCTGGGATTACAGGCACGTGCTACCATGCCTGGCTAACTTTTGTATTTTTAGTAGAAGCAGGGTTTCACCTTTTTGGTTGGGCTGGTCTCAAACTCCTGACCTCAGGTGATCTGCCCACCTCAGTCTCCCAAAGGGCTGGGATTGCAGGCATGAGCCACTGAGCCTGGCCATTTGAATATATTTCATGTCAAGTGATGTTTTCCAAAGCCTAGAGGGGCTGTGCTCCCTCCTCCCCTCACCCTCCCTGAGGCCCCATCGCCCACCTCTTGAACTGGGCCCTCCGAAAGGTTAACATCTCCAGGCTGGCAGACATGGGCAGGGCTCCAGCCTCAGGGAGAGGCATGTTTCCAACAGTCAGGGCCCCCGGCAGGCCAGCAGCAGGCAGGGGGGCAGGCAGCTCAGAGGTGGGGCTGCAGGAGCCTGCTCACTATCCGCTCCCCAGGGCCCACGCTCCCCAGCAGGTGTGTACCCTCGGCCCAGCCCCGCTTTCATCCACCCTTGATGCCGCAGCCGTACCTGGACGCACTTGCTCCCGGGAAAGCTCTGAGCCCAGTGCCCCTATGTCTGGGCTTCAGCAGGACAGGTGCAGTGGTCACTGAGGGCCTGCCGACCCAGGAAGGTGATGCACAGGCAGCCTCCAGATGGCAAAATCAGGCTGCATGTCTGGCCCGGGTGTCACAGAAGCCAGGGCAGGGACAGCCTCTGGGGCCGGATGTTTCACCAGCTCTGGGAGGACTCAGTAAATATTAAACAGCCCCCGGCATGCCAGACAAGTTTCCAGACAGGCACATGCACCCCGCTGGTCCCAGCCCTCACGTGAGGTCACTACGGCAGTCCTTCTGCCTGGTGTGGTGGGCAGAGGCCTTGGCGTGTGACCATTGCAAGCACAGGCCCCTCGAGCAGAGCTGGACTCAGGTCCCGCGCCTGCCCCCAGCCTCCAGGTGGGGCAATTATAGGACTGGCTGCACAAGCTTCAGGTGAAGACTCCACACAACAAACACGTGAGCCAACCATTTACCCAGGTGCCTGGCGGCGCCGGACACTTGTTGCTGGTGACAGGCCACGTGAGCCAACCATTTACCCAGGTGCCTGGCGGCGCCAGACACTTGGTGCTGGTGACAGGCCGGCACTCGGCACTTGCCAATTTTAAGCTCTTGTCTCAGCGCTTTTCTTTTTTTTTGAGATGGAGTTTCACTCGTGTTGCCCAGGCTGGAGTGCAATAGAGCAATCTCGGCTCACCTCAATCTCTGCCTCCCAGGTTCAAGCAATACTCCTGCCTCAGCCTCCTGAGTAGCTGGGATTACAGGCCCCCCACCACCACACCCGGCTAATTTTTGTATTTTTAGTGGAGACGGGGTTTCATCATATTGGCCAGGCTGGTCTCGAACTCCTGATTTCACGATCTGCCTGCCTCGGCCTCGCAAAGTGCTGGGATTACAGGTGTGAGCTACCGAGCCCAGTGCCTTTTTTTTTTTTTTGAGACGGAGTTTCACTCTTGTTACCCAGGCTGGAGTGCAATGGTGCGATCTCGGCTCACCGCAACCTCTGCCACCTGGGT